GACCCTTTGGGGAAATTCCTCCTACTCTGGAAAAGTGTTCAAGATTCAAAAGCAATCCATTACAATAATCTGTAGTGCGGGTTACAGAGATTCCTGTCGGCCATTATTTTGCCAACTCAATATCATGCCTTTACCAACTTTGTATATTTATCAGTCTCTGCTCGAGATTCATGATAATAAAATAAACTCCTAACTAACTCAAATTACCATGATCATAACACACGCAATGCAAATTTGATCAGGTCTGGAAGATTTAAATACAACAAGCCATTCAAAAACTCAATCATTGTTGACCTTTACAATATACTTCCTGCAACACTAAAGCATGTAAATCAATCGACATTTAAAAACTCTGTCAAAGTGATATTACAGGAAAAATGCTACTACAGTATTGCTGAGTATATGGCTGACCCACCCAGGATGTGATTTGTAAAACTGAAACACATATATTTTTGCTCAAATACTCATGTTATATGTCCCAATAATTATTGTGTCTACTATATGTGTATGGTATGTTGTAATGTACACATATTATTTTATTTTACTATCATTGTTATTTTATTTATTTCGTGAATATTGTACAGTAGTTTTTGCATCTACTTGCTACCTGATTTGCTACAAATGTTTTATACATCACGTAGTTAAATAAAGATCTATCTATCTATCTATCTATCTGTTATTGAAACATCAAGAGTCCGATCAATGAATCAGTAAACCAGTTTTTCTATTGAAAGAATTCAAACCGGAACTAAAGCAAACATCAGAAATAGTTCATATGCTAGTAATTTACAAAGTAAAAAAAAATTCCATTTTCGAAATATCCCATAAATTCATAGAACATTAAAAACAAAACCAGGATAGTAATTCATGATTATGCAAAATGGGAATTTTGTTCTTTCTAACTTTGTGAATAACTAGCATATGAACTATTTCAATTGGCTTTGATTCTGGTATCAATTCTTTCAATGAAAAAAAAAGTCTACTAAATTATCAATCAGACTTTTGATGTTTTAATAACAGATGAGAATGTGTATCGATGAAATTGGCCTACCTATAATTTGTGAAGTTCAATAATTCAAAAGTGGTTACGAATATCTATATGGATGTTGAGATGAAAGATGTCCGTGTTTCGATTTCACACCAAATGGCATAAAAATATATGGGGTGTTTCATTTGAAAAACTCGAGAAAAATCTGAGGGGGTTTAATTGCCATTTCCCAATATTTCCCCTTATTTCCTGGCATTTTCTCATATTTCCAATGATTGCCTCGCATTTCCCGGTATTTCCCCACATTTCCCAGTATTGCCTAGAATTTCCAGAAATTTCCCCGTATTGCCTCACATTTCCCGCATTTTCTAGAATTTTCTCATATTGCCCCGCACTTCTCAGTATTGCTTCGTATTTCCATAAATTTCCCCATATTGCCTCGTATTTTCCTGCATTTCTCTGTATTGCCCTAACTTTTTGACATTTTTTTATTGTGTAACCAATCGTTTTTATATGACCTGTATTGCTTGCTATTCCCTACATTTGTAAAGATTGGCACGCATTTTCCAATATTTCACTACAATAATATTGTTTTACGACAGTACTATGAAAAAAACATACAATCGAAAAAAATATGTATTCAAATTTCCTCGTGAGTGTCTACATTTCTCGATTTATTTATAATTTTACCATATTGCTTTTACTGTATTTTTATCCATATTATTTTTTGAATTGATTGATTTGATCTATTTCCCGTTTTTGGATAAAAATTTGGATGATAGAATACAACCAATGAGTGAAGTCTGTTCTTTTAGATTTCAAATTATTTCGAAAGATACACCAGTCTCCAATAGATATTATATTTAAAGGTTTGAGTTTTGACATATCACCATCTTGATCGAGCTTCTGATTCATTTCTTTTCTCTGGCCTTACTCGAACCATTAGATCACTTGATAGTTTAGACCGATTTTTAGTGAAAAGCCAAAAAAGAGTTCTTTTCTTACAACTATGATTTTTGTAAGATACGCGCAAAAAAAGGTCCGTCATCGAAAAAACTATTGGTGTTTTCGTTGGTTTCCTTAGAGTATGTGTTTAATTTGTAAGTGATCTTCGATACTTTCAATACTATTCAACAAAAGGCTTTCTGGATGTGATAAGGTACCTGTGAGTTCATCATCACTCAAATCATTTTCAACCAATGTTGCAATATCAATATGCGATATAAATTGCTGTGTCAGAGTACTGTGAAGCGAGCGCAATAGGGTGTCGAGTAGGGAATTCTCAGAATGGCGTCTAGCTATCGTCTAGCGTCCACCCGGTTGTGAAAGCCTAATACATAACGAATGGCGTAGAGTCGATATTTCAATCATGTCATTTTAACATGTCGATGCGATTGTATATTAACTCTTTAAAAAACTAATTACCTATATTGTTTTTCAAATTGAATGCCGACTGTCTCAAATTTTCAACCGCTTTGCTAGATATTGCCCCGCATTTCTAGATATTTCCTCGTATTTTCCAGTATTGCCTCGTATTTCCAGTATTTCCGGCATTTCCTAGAATTTCCTTTCATTGCTCCGCTTTACCCAGTATTGCCCCGTATTTCCCTATATTGCCTTGCATATGTCCCGCATTTCCTAAAATTTCCTCGCATTGCCCCGTATTTCCTCTCAAGTGTACGAGAATTTCCCCAGTGGCAACCCCCTCGGAAAAATTACTTCCAAAAGTTCCTAATCAAATGATATTTTGATTATTATTTCTCAAACTTTATAATTGTGATTACAGTGATTTTTTCGGTATGGATCTACAGATGATATTATTTCAACAAAAAATTAATGACTTTGAAATGATTTAGAAACAGTCAACAATATTATAGGAGTAGATAGAGGTCACAGGAATGCTACAAAAAATGTGCTAATATACAGGGTGTCCCATAAACATACCGACAAACTTTAAGGGATGGTAGAGGACATCAAAATAAACATTTTTGCTCGATAAACATAAGTCCGGAAATACAAAAACAAAAAATGATTAAAAGTCATTGATAATAATAATTAATGATTAGTAAAAATAAGTTATTGGAAGTTTTATTAGTTTTTCATTATTTCAATAAACGCATTGGTAAAATGTAAGGTACAATTTTGAAGCATATAATTTTTTTTTCATAGATGTAAGAGATATGGTTTTTTTTTCTCTTCACAACGAAGGTAGATACGGAAAAATTTCAAGGGACAAAAAAGTTTCATTTTCAGTTGTTCATTAAAATAAAATATCATAATTACAAAAAATCTACTGGGCGATATTTTTTTGTGCAAAAACTATCCGACATAGCTCGTGAGCCGCCCCTGATATTAGTGGGCAAATTCTAATAGCTCCAAAAGATACCTTATAAATGTATCAATAATCTGTGAAAATTTCATCAAATTCGACTAAATCGTTTTTACGATATTGATAAAAAATCGATTTTTTAAAAAGAATTTAACACCCTGTATCTCGAAAACGAAGAGTTTCCGACTTATGTTTATGGAGCAAAAATGTTTACTTTGATGTCCTCTACCTTCCCTTAAAGTTTGTCGGTATGTTTATGGGACACCCTGTATAGGGCATTTTATTTAAAAAAAAGTGATCCTAACCCTCTAGACTTTTTTCGATGCCCCTTGTATATGCGGCAATAATTTTTAGTTACGGACCTTGTCTCATTGACATTCGTTTTTGAATCAAGTTTCAAGCTATCATAGAACTCGACCATCCAGCTCCGACGCACTAATGCCCCACCCTGTACATATATCCATTTTTTCAAGTTAATAATCCATCTGAGAATATTCTTTCTTAATACTTTCACCCAATCAAGGGGTTCAAACTTGCACGATGAAAACTTGTTATTTTTATAGACCTTTAACCGCAGATTCGTGATTAGGTTTACTCAATTCAGAATTTCTTTACACATCCTGTATGATGAATATCAATTTGTCAATTCAAAAAGAGAAGAAACTTTTTTTCTAGGCAATATTTGGATTCAATTTATTTGAAACATTCCTAGTAACTGGAATATCTAGCAATATTTTTCTAATTAGTTCAGCGGATACCACAGATGTGCTGATACCAATGTACGTGGATATTGTGCTTATAATATCGGTTTATACCAATATGGGTCACGGAAACCGATATGGCTGACATACTGATACGAATATTGGTATGGGATACCTAGTCAAGACCTGTAAATTGATCATCTCAGAGCATTATACAGGGTGTCCGGATATGTCATGCTGTAAATAATAGGGCTGATAAAGTGAGCCAAAATAATGTCAGTACTTTACATAAAAAATGTCTATCACACTTCATGAATAAAAAAAATGTATATCATGAATAAGTTTTAAATGGTTGACATGGTATCAATGATATTACCGTTACTAAATCAACTCATACTAATGATCCTTTCCATATATAAATGGCTTTTATATGAAATTTGAAGAAAAGGTATATGTAGAATGTGAATATTATGAATTAATAATGAGCGCTAACTTCATGCAGCGCCATTTTTTTTTTTTTTTAGAAAATGAGTTCAGATAGATTTTTTTGTTGTATTATAAAAAGTTCTCGAGTTTTAATAGTATATTATGTAACAAGTGTTATAAACGTCCTTTTAGTAACGAGTAGTTTAAGCACGAGCGGAGCAGAGCGGAGCGAGTGTTTAATAAACGAGTGTCTAGAAGAGTTTATAAACGCATTCGTCGATCGATCGTCAAGCAGTAAGCACACAAAATAAACTGCTCCTGTAAAAAGTCGTAGGAAAGTGAGTGAATAAGTCGCGATACAAACGTGAAAAAATAATCTGGATAGTGAACCAAATCGACTGCGACACATCCAGGTGAAAAATTTCCAATCAAAACCTACAATAAAGGGGTATTTTTGAATAAACAATAGATCCAAAATCCGAGAATAAACTACCGCAATCAAGCCGCTAATAAAATAATATTAGGCTGCCAGTAGCATCTTAGTCCGGAGAATAGAATGTCAAATGAAATCCCCGATGACTTGTCAGTTTCGGAATGTTATAGATTACTCATAAGAGCACTTGATAATATATCGAAAGATATCACTACAAAAATTTCGGAACATAAAGAAGAAGTTTCCAAAAAGTTCAAGGAGGCCGATGAAAAAATTGAGAGTCTACAAAACGAAAACAAGATACTAAAAAAACAAATCGAATCAAACGAAAGAGAGTTGAAGAAAAATAACGTCATCATCTTTGGACTACAAGAAGAAGAAGAAGAAAACCTATATGAAAAAGTAGTAGACTTCATCCAAAACAAAATCCAAATTGCAGATTTCAATAAATCGGATCTGAGCTGTGTATACCGATTTGGCAGGCAAGATACATATCCCCGACCAGTACTCGTGAAAATATTAGCCCTATATAGAAAATCAGAAATCCTGAAAAACGGATACCTACTGAAAAACAGCAACTACTCAGTGAGCAACGACTTATCACCAATAGAAAGACAAAATCAGAAAATATTGAGGAAACACCTCAAAAAAGCGAAAGAACAAAATCTAGAAGCCTATATAAGAGGAAACAATTTAATAGTGGATACCAAAAGCTACAATAGTAGTGATCTAGTGGAATTAGAAAAGAACGAAAAAGAGAAGGAAGAAGTCAAGGAAGCAGGGAAAAGTGGAAAGGACAATAAACCAACATCCAAAACTAAAGACGATAGCATATTGAAAGGAAAAGAAGTTGAAATTAGGAAAAGAAATAACTCGGAACGAAGTAATGGATCATCGAGGATTGAGTCCCACACGAAGATAAATAGCAACTACACCACAAGAAGCCAAGTACCTAGAAAATAAAAATGAGAAAATCACCCGTACTATATCATCAATGAACAACGTGGCGCACAAAACGTATGTAAATCGATATCGCTCATCAGATAAAAAAAATAAACATTTCTTTAATTCATAAAAACATGAACCAATTTGTTAGAGATTACAAACACATTCCAGTAAAAACACATTTCACCCACGATACCAGTGATTGTCAAAACCACCTGAAATTATCGAATCGATCACAATTCTCTATTTTTCATAATAATATAAGGAGTGTTTCAAAAAATTTCGATGAATTGCAAATCTATCTGAAAAATTTCACCCATCGTTTTGATTGCATCATACTCTCCGAAACATGGAAAATTGAAAATATAAATGATTTCCGAATACAAGGATATGATATATATTATAACAATGGGAATATTAACCAAAACGATGGCACCTTGGTATATGTGAAAAATTCAATCAACCACTCTGTGAAATTTGTCAAAATTGATAGGACAAATGCAATAGTAACCACACTATACACATATGACAACAAAAAAATTTCAGTCACATCTCTATACAGACCTCCATCAACAAATGTATATGATTTCATCAGATCGCTGAAGATATTCCTAAGAAACTTAGAAAACTCGAACTTCTCTTTCTTTGTTGGTGATATGAATATCGATATTCTTTCAGAAAAAGATTACATCAATGAATACTTAGACACTCTTTATGAATACGGATTCATATCACTTATAAATGAGTACACAAGATCACAAAAAAACAGCAATAGCTGTATAGATCACATCTTTCTGAAATCTACATGCCCACATTCAAATCCCAAATCCGCTATCCTATGTTCCACAATAACAGACCACTATAGCACATTATCGAGCGTAACTATCAATCCCGGAAATAGTTATGTCAATCACAAAAAAGATGAAATCTATTATGAAAAAATTAATTATGACAAACTTCAAAACATATTAAGAAACACCGATTGGACTCAATTCTATAATTGCAATGATCCGGAAAAAGCTAGCGACATACTATTTAAGAAAATTGAATTAGGATTGAATTTTTCTATCTCAAAAATAAAAGTAAAGACAACAAAAAAACGCAAAGAATGGATTACTACAGGCTTAATGAAATCAATCGCAAATCGTGACGAGATGTTTTTCAACCTAAAAAACAAACCCAATGATTACGAACTTTACGAAAAATATAGAACATATAAAAACAAAGTAAACAATCTGATAAAAATTACAAAAAATGAATTTTATGCTAAAAAAATTAACTCATTCAAGAACGATTCTAGAAAAATTTGGAAAACAATTAAAGAAATTACGAACAGAACATCAGCAGAAACAAAAATAAAAACAATTATTACACAACAAGGTGTTATATTGAGTAGCGAATCAGACATTGCGAATGAATTCAACAAACACTATACAACAATAGGAGCAAGTATGGCAAAAAGAATAAAGAAACCAAATATGATAATGAGAGACACAATTCTGGACAGAAGCTTTCATCTAGAAAAGATTGAAGAAAAAGATATCAAAAAATATATCACAGAATTGAAGAACTTCAAGTCGCCAGGATTTGACAATATTACGTCAGAAATTCTGAAATATTCTATTAACGAACTGTCCCCACTAATTACACATGTCATAAACCTCAGCTTTTCGAAAGGTAAATGCCCATCACACTTCAAAACCGCAGTTGTGAAACCTATATACAAATCAGGGGAAAAAAACCTAACAATAAATTACCGACCAATATCACTGATCTCAAATATCGCAAAAATATTTGAAAAAGCACTGAAACTAAAAATGGAACATTTCTTAGAAAAATACAAACTTTTGTCGTCTTTCCAATTTGGTTTCAAAAAGCATACATCCACCGAAGATGCAATATGTAACTTAACTGACTCGATTTATCAATGTGTTGACAAAAAAGTGCCATGCCTAACAGTATTTATTGACTTGGCGAAGGCATTTGATACTGTGAGTCATGTGCAGCTATTGAGTAAAGTGTGGAACATGGGCTTTCGTGGAAACTGTCATGATCTCCTAAAAAGCTATTTAACAGATAGGAAACAGGTTGTTAGAATAGGAAACATAACAAGTGAGTCTATGACTGTCACTTACGGAGTACCGCAAGGGACAGTACTAGCTCCTTTATTATTCAACATATATGTGAATGACATGATGAACATCAATATTGATGGAAAAATCTTGGCTTTTGCAGATGATACAGCAGTTTTTTTCTCAGGATCATCCTGGTTAGACGTGAAAACGAAAACTAGTGCAGGTATAAAAAAAATCAAAGACTGGTTAGATCACCATCTCCTGACAATGAATATAGAAAAAACGAAATACGTTTGCTTCTCATCCTACAAAAATAGTCTACCCAATTACACCGAAATCCATATAGAAGATACAAAAATAAATATAAAGTCAGCGGAAAACATGAAGTACCTCGGAGTCATAATTGACTGCCATCTTAAATGGAACCTTCACATAGAACACGTCGTAAAAAAACTTCGTTCATTAATATATTGTTTCAAAAAGCTGAGAAATATACTATATGATAAAACCTTATTAACAATCTATAATAGCTTGATTCAATCTATAATGAGATATGGTATATTGATCTGGGGTGGAGCAAATAAAACAAGCATTAAACCACTCGTACAAGTCCAGAAAAGGTTCCTAAAAATAGTACTATGGAAGGACTATTACTACTCAACTTCCAAATTATATTCTGAATCAAATGCTATTAACATACTGAATGTAAGACAAATATATGCAAAACAATTGCTCATCCATCAATTCAAAAATAAAAGCAAACCGCAGATTATAACACATACCTACGAAACCAGACAACAAACAAAAAAACTCATATGCAATCCAAGAATACATAAGTGTATTTCCACAAAGTATTTTCGATACCTTTCCCCTAGATTATACAATGCTCTTACCGATCCCATAAAACACATATTCTCCTATCGTATATTCCAAAAAGAAGTGACAAAGTGGATCATAAGTTTGAACTAAACTATATTAGATATATTTGTAAATACTGGTGAAACAAATGCTCTCAAAAAGTGAATGCTAATATTAATTTAATATAAAAAGAATGCCATTCTAAAAAATATAATATCACATATACTTACCAAAAATATATATTATATATATATATATCTATATATCTATATATATATATATATATATATATACCCAACCAATGTGAAATCAACTAAAAACCAAATATAAGCACTCGTGCACAGTTTAATAACTTTAGCGAGGCTTACACTTGTTTTTTTGGCGATAGCTGGTCACAAAAAAAAAATACAAATCCCAAAATGTAATATGATTATCTTTACCTTTTTTACTTACTACTGTAAATTATAACTATTGTTTGAGCTGTAACTTCTTCTCCAAATAAACATTATTATTATTATTATTATTATTATTATTATTATTACATACTATGATTTTTCTACGAACTCCAAAAATTACATTATTTAACATACCTGCTATTCCTGCTAACCTACAAAATAATTCGAAAGGAATGGGAATTGAAAACATAATACATACAACTGCATGCAACCAGCGAGTGATATTGGTTGTAGATCTGTCCAGTCCATTGCTTACTAACCTTTGTTTCACGTTTATTGTCATGCTTAGCGCTGAATAAATAAATTGTTCTCAAATATGGATGCTTCATTTTTACACTTCTTGGAGGTATGTGAGTACCTGAACATTCTCTTCGATTTCACTCTCGTCTACTTTTCGCATATATTTTTAATGTAGAATTCCGATACAAACGAATATTGTTTGAATAATTCTGATACAAAATATGAAAATAACAGTTGACAGTTAATACAATTGACAGGCCAGACATGTCTCGAATTACTGAAGCTGTGTTTAATGAACTGCGTTGCCATGGTGATGTGTTTAAGAAATCGTGTTGCCATGGTAATGTGTTTATTATTTTGAATAAATCACAGATCGACAATCCCTGATTAATGGATCATTTAGCGTGGTACATATCCGTATGATAAATGCCATTTTAGTTATGTGAGTAGAAAAACCTATTTCCATACCCATAGTTCTGGTGAACTAAGCAGATTATTTAATAATTCAAGAAAATAAAATATGAAAATGTGTTTCTATAGGCAACATTTCTTGGTGACATACTTTTCCATTCTCTTTGTATTGAGGAAAAAGCTATGAGGCAGCTATAGAGAAAAAACGATACTTTATCATTTATCAGCTGTCATAAGGTGCTGACCTTGAAAAACTACCATTTTCGATAAAAAAATAATTCCAAAGAACTGAACGAGTTCTGAGTAGTGCTTGACGAATTCTTCAAAATAGTATGATTGTGCTTTAGTGACAAATCGATACTTTTTCATTTATCAGCTTTCATAAGGTGCTGACCTCCACCTCCAAAAACTAACATTTTCTATGAAAAAATAATTCCAAAGAACAGAAAAATTCTTATGGGAGTTCTGAGTAGCGCTCAATGACTCATTCTAAATGGTCTCATTATCATTGTGTTTTAGTGAAAAATCAATACTTTTACATTTATCAGCTGTCATGAGGTGCTGACCTTGGAAAACTAACATTTTCAATAAAAAATTAATTCCATTTCTCTATAGTATATTCTGTTTCCACATATTCAATTGAAACAATCAAAATCTACAAAATCAAAACACATTCATAAAATGATTTAGTATATACTGGCAGGAAAACTCTGGTCGTTAGCCATTTGGCATAATGTATTTTTTTATTTTATGTCCAATAGAGTTTATTTTCTTCTTCTTCTTCTCAAAACACATTCATCTATGGCATACAATTTGCTGATGATACAGCCATTATAAGTCATCATAAATCACTTGAAAAAGCAGTTGAAGAGTTACAAAACGCAATTTGGAACACTGTGAGATGGTGTGCCAAGTGGAGGCTAAAACCAAATTCAGAAAAATTCCAACTGATACTCTTCAATCAAAAAATATCAGATGA